TCGGGCTTCGCTCGCACCTTCGGTCGAGCTAACTCTGGAAGCAAACAAAGGACTACACCCGAAGCAGACTGACATAGAAGCTGAACTTAGACCATGGGATATGCTGCTTGTTCAAAAAGACCGGTATTTTCAGGTTCTATGTTCGTCTGCAAAGATGTAATCAAGTCAGGACCCAAAATATTAAACTTGTATCTTTTTAGCTTGCATAGCTTAGGGGGTTTAAGTTCGGCGGCCTGGCAATTCTGCAACAATCGTGGAAGTGGTAAACCCATTAGTTCATTTTCGGACAAGACGTAGGGGTGGTGCCATCCACTTCCATGTAATTGGAGAAACGAGGCTGGCCCCTGATGAACAAATCACTTCATCCGTTCCAACAGAATTCTCGCTCAGCCCTGTTGTCTTCTCAGCCCTGCTTGGCAGGAACTCGCAAAAAACTCGTTGATCGGCTCTGCATGGCCCTCTCTTCGGCGTCGAAGGCAGTGCCAGCTCCATTTAGACATGACAATTTGCTTAGCAACTACAATGAAGTAGCCATTTCCCTCCTTAAGTGGACCAGCCCCTGTAGAGGAAAACCGCCTGCCAGACTCCGTCTACATGGAGTCGACGCAGGATCGTTTGGCGTGTCATCCATGGAGTACAAAAAAACTACTTGAGACATCTTGAGAACTTGAGGTGCATTCCATACTGGAGTTCTGGGTACATGCATGGTCCGCAAGACGGACCGTCCTGGAAGACTGGAGTTCTGGGTACATCTGGATCATCCAGTCTGGATCATCCAGTCTGACCCAGTTCAGCCAGGTCCTTTAGCTCATATGTTTTGTGTTCTTGTATCACCAATTCCAGTAAAAGGAGGTCAAACTGACGTAGAGGCTATCAATCGGCTCTTGGAAAGGTCACAAAGGGGTTGCGTTTGGATATGTTTGGATCACACGTCCAAAACCAGCGCTAAGGCTTTCTTGAAGGTGGATCTAGCTCTGCACCAAAAAAGGCGTGAAAATCGTCCGGGTCAGCTTGAAGGCTCAAAGACCCTGTTTTGAGGGAATGATTCCTAGGCTTGGGTTCAGAAAAATGGAATTCGCTATGTAATGGTGGAGCAAAGGGACACTTCACTCACTTGACTTTCTCCGATGCTACGCTGCCCTTCGATCTTACATCCTGAGGGAGCCTCCCGATACTGAAACCGGGGTGTTCCACGAACACAAAAACGGCACGTACTAAGCACTTGCTTTGAGTACTCGTGCCAACACATTGGGACAGCGGCCATGAAAACAACTGCCTTACAAAAACTGATTGTAACATATACTTTGGTGTCATCATGGAATACAACCCCGTACCCAGCATCATAGTGACATATCCAAAGGATGCCACTGACAGCTTTTAAGATCAATACAACAAACAATATGAAATAAGTAATATGCATGTTCTATTTCGTTCTTTGTTTTTTGCTAGAATTTGGTGCATCAAATACATATATATATATATATATACATTAATACATATATAAAACAACGAGTATATGGTTATGGTATGGCTCAAGCGTAGGGCAACCTCCCAAACCCACTGGTACAAGGAAACTAGTCTTAACCTGTGGGTCCCTGTCCTGAAACACGTGGCCTTCTCTCCCACTAGGAGGCATACCTGACAGATGTTCGCCACCTTTAGGAGGGCAATGGATCACAACCGACACCGAGTGCCTCAGGATCTCGTCACCAGAAACGAAGGATTTCGATCTCCGACTTTTGTGGATCAGAAATGGTTTTCTCAGGGTGGGTCCTTGGAGTTCTTGGAGGCCGTTGCGGCACTGGATGCCCATGCTCCGTCCAAAAGAGAATCCCGTCTTGAAGCTCTGCAGCTCTGCAGCTGTCGACCCAGGTGAATGGCACCAGGCTTCTTTGGGTCTGGGTCTTGATCCATGTGCCCAAAAACCGCAGTCTCTCAAGCAGCATCAGCATTCCTCGGCCCGCAAAAGCAAAAGGGAAGAACAACCTTGAGCGCCTTCTGCCACATCTGGTGAGAGGCACTCAAAGCAATGGGCAAGCCCATTTTGCCTTCGTTTGGGGAACAATTCATGCAGTTGGTGAACGTCACCCAGTGAGAAAGGGTGTTATATAGCATCCAGGATTTCTAGTTTACTCTGTTTCTAGAACAGTCCTTCAAACGAAAAAACAGATCGCCAGGCGTCATCAGCTCACGCGACTCCTTCGGCTCGCGGATGTGCAAGCAGTCGTCAGGTCGGGTGGTGGCCAGTTTCGTGTAAACGATCTGCCAAAGCTTCCTGAGACGGACAAGGAAACGGAAGAAAGAAAGGTTGGTTTTGCTCATATACCATAGGGCTCCAACCACATCCTCAGAAGGTGGTTGGGGTGGGTGCCAGGGGGGGCTAAAGACCTTCTGAGGAGCCCTGGGGCTATGGATACACTGCCACCCTGTTGTGTTCGAGGGTGATGTGCCTGAATATTCAAATTTGAAAAAAACATCGCACCCACCGGAGCTCACGAACCCAGCGGAAACCAGAACATTTTGCCTGCGCATAGAGCTGAACTTGTCATCTTGACTTCATGAACACGCCCTTCACGGTCCAAACAAACCAGACCCTCCAAAACCTCAATCCAAAATCGTTCAACTCGATGCGAGTCCCCCAAACAACTCGATTGGCCCATGCTGATTATCCCGTTGAATAAACACCTTTCTGCACCAGCAAAAGAAGAACGTCCGCGGTACTTCACGGCGTATTTGGGCGGATTCCCGGGTGGTTTGTTGGGCTGCCTTTGGCGAGCCAAAAGACCAACAACATGGAGACACAAACCTGAACACACTCGCGAAAAGAAACGGCCAAACACTTTCTGACACTCTTTTGGGGGTTCTTCAGACGGGCTGTCGTGGTTCTGGACCCCGTGGTTAAGGTAACCTCGTGGTTAAGCTAAGCTGGTCGTGGCTAAGCTAGCCAGTTTCTCTTTTGGGACACGCCAGGTTCAGGAAAAACAAACGGATGGTTCTGATGTTCCAAGTTTCACTCGTCGACGTTCGAAGGCTGCGGAGCAAGCACAAAGGTAGTAGACCCACCTGGGATGTTTAACAGGCACCCAGTTAGCCGACCGTTGGTGATTCAGTGAAGTCGACCGAACTTGATTTCCTGGTGGGTTCGGTCACAAACAGGCCGGTTTTACAGGTCACGACTGGGGACTCCAAAGAGGTCACGAACTGAAGAAGCTGGTTCAGAAACATTCAGCGTTAATTGGCGTTCCATCTTCTAAAAGCTCTTGTTCATTCAACATGAACATGTTTTGGTAACAAAAGTGGTGTGATGTGGTGTGTGTCACCTTTGTCATCCTTTGTCACCACCATCAATAACACTGATGTTTCACCATCTATAGAAGAATGGTTCTCGCCAAACATGTTAACTTGGGTAGGTCGCCAGGTACGACGCTTGTACCCAGTTTAAAGCTGGTATCGACTGACTGAGACTCATGTGACTGCTGAACCACCTCCACAACTGGATGTGCTGAACCTGGATTTGAGGTTCTTCTGGCTTCTGCGATCATTCAAGAGTCAGAAGAGTGAAGCATGTTCATGTTCATCCTTCGACATTCGACCAAGCTAAGCTGGAAGAATCTGAGGAGAAGCCATGAGCAAACTGGAAGTCATCGGACATGCAGCAAAGGTTTTAATTGACCCAAGTCACCCCTTATTCTTTCTCAAACTCATGCTCTAACTTGGGTATATCCCCCCCAGGCCCAGTGGATGATTATGGTTAGCTTACAGGCCGACATCGATCGTTTATCAACTGTTGCAACCTGTGCCCACATAACCCTCAAGCGTTCGGATGCCTTCGGTGTAGAAGCCAGGAGATCCACCGAAGCCGACACACAGAGGCACGAACGCATCCAACCTGTAGCCATCCCTCGACCTCTCTCCATGCGGTTTAGGCACATCCGTCTAAATCGTACATCAAGCTCATCCAAACCCTGGCCGCACAGGGAATAGACTCGGACGTGTGGTTCTTTCCAAAGCGAAGTCCAAACCAAACACCGCTTGGATGACCCCGACTCGCAGCTTCAGCCCACACATATATTTATGAGTTATGAGCATATTATACTTGCCGACCCTACAAGTACCTTTTTAAAAGGTGATCTTTCGGGTCTTTCTGGGGCATATCTTCCATTCCAGACTGATCTTCCAGTCCCAAACATTTACAGTGCAAATACCCAGCAAATGAATAGAATCTATCACTAGTTGAATAGTTGTTGAATAACATCTGATGTTGAAACACTAGTCACGCCTTTCCCCGCTTAGAATATCTTGTCTTCCAGTCCCATTTGGCGAGAAAGAGATTTGGCCAACAAGAACCAATAGTACACTTGCTCATCGGTTCTTGGTTGCGAAATAACATGAAATAGCATTACTGTTTCTAGTGTTAGTCGTACTTCTAATAGCGTAAAAGTACTATATATACCGTACTGTACCAATAATATACAATATACAGTCACAAACAAAAAGAAACCTCCTGCAAGACCCCACAAAGCTGGCATGCAACAACCCCCCATGGCCCACGAGTGTCGAACGCCAACGAAAAGATCGAACAATTGAACAATGCTCTACCTTGTAATCTACTGACAGCATGTAGCATGTCTTTGCAAGTCAACGTTTTCTGGAAGAAACAACTGCGATACATCGATGGACTTAACAGGAAATTCCTGTTGATGCCGATGCCGATGTAAAAAAGAAATGCAAAGAGATCTAAACACAACCGACTTATGACAGTCACAGTATCTCTCTATATACATATTATGTATATTTAGGATGTGTATGCACATGATTGCAAATGTATATATATAGATGACTACAACACGCAGGTGCACATTGGTTTGTTTCTCCAAACACAAAAGTTTGGAAACAACGTGTGTATGCGTGTGTTGTTCCATCTCTACTAGTAGTTCAGTGTATTTAGAGGTAAAACCATGCAAGCAAAGGTCTACTCAGAACAAGGCTGCAAGGACGCTTCAACTCCGAAACCAACAACACCGAGTTACGTAAGTCACAGGCGCTGTCACATCGCGCGCCTGCCAGTCTTTCACCCGATCCAGCCAACACCGCAGGGTCATGACATAGCTCTTCCCAAAGCTTTGCCAATCTTCCATGTGCCATCCTCAAGTGCGAGCGCTGTGTAGATCGTGCCAACACCATCCGATCTACACACCAAAGCCAAAACAGGCCGCAGATGAATCTCGAACTATGTATATGTATATAATATAACTGTATATATTGTATATATATTATATATATACGTAGGCTCGAGGGATTGATTGAAAATGAAATCCCCAACGCCCACTCCACAATGCTGTGACCAGTCCATCTCCAAAGGCTTTCTGTGCTCGGTAAAATGACTGCCTAGGACCTTCAAAGTGACTCGTTCCAGATCTCAGAATGGCCCCTGACAAAGCCATAGAGGCTAAGTATTCTTATATTATGCTTAAAGTGTAAAGTTTGACCAATATCAACAGCACACAATCTCTGCCCAGCACAACTGGCGCCGAGTGACGATCGCTAAACTCCTGCGTCATGTGGGACATCGTGGGCATCCTCATCAAGCCGCGGCGATCAGCTTCGCTCACATCAGTATGCCATTGGTGTCACTGCCTGCCATTCTCATCTACGTGATTTATTTACACTCTGACTCACTAACATGGAAGCGGGAAGGGGCCCCTGGAAGACCCAGTGGAAGACCCTTTTTTTTTTAGAATCAGCTCCAGGTGCTTTCCACTTCGTCCCAAGGTACACGTCAAACTCCTCTGCATAGACCGATGAGCACATGCGAGTGCTCGCGCCCGTGCTCGCGCCCGTGCTCGCGCCCGTGCTCACGCTCGTGCTTGTGGGAACCACTAAAGACCCCGATGACCTGTGCATGTACAGTGAATTGTCTGACGACTCCACCCGTACGACTCTCTCTGCATTCTGCTAGTTGGAGCTTTGTCAGGCTTCCAAAGAAATTGGACATGAAATAATCAACGCTTGAAACTGTCACTTGAAGACCATTTGGGGAGATCAAGGTTCACCCTGGAAGATGATGCACAAGCCTCATTGTCAAGGGTGTCACCCTTCTGTCAGCTCTCTAGTCTCTGCACCCGCCAAAAAAAAAACACAACGATCCTCTCTCTAAACCACCTACGGCATCCACTCAATAGGCGAGTACAGGAAGCCTCGAGAGTCCTCCAGCTCCGCATTAGACGCTTTCCCCATCATGTCCGCATGGTTTCCTGGTCCTACACGTATGCTGCCGATTTGCTCGCCCCCAGGGAAGATGTACTTGTTCACAAAGGCCTCGAATGCTGTCTGTCGACCGTCACCACCGCCTGGAACCACCGCTCACTCCACCGACGTGGACACCTGGTGTTGCCAGTGGGTTTCGCATGGACCTTTAAACTGGTAGAAATGCGCAGTCGCCCAACACTCTTCTGATTCGGATCTAAGCTTTTCTCCAAGTCTGTGCGAGAACCCGAAAGTCCCCTCATTAAACGGAGCGCTTGGAGCTTTCTCCGCTCATCATCATCGCCGCTTCTTCATCGCCCAAGGAACGTTGTGATTCCATGGCCCTCGCCGCGCCCAGCCCATGGTGTGGATCATCATGATGCCATCGTCCTGGACAAAAAGAATGGCACAGCGGAATGGCCAGCGCCAGGTGGAGCGGCGCAGCTATATGGGCAGCTAGTCTGCGGTGTTTAGGCAGGAGCTGCGTGTAGAAAGAACGAACATTCATATTATCCAAGCAAATTCACACACCGATCCACTTTGTGGGAAACAAACCAGAAACATATTCAACCAATTCTGTGAGTTTGGAATCCTACTCTTGCCAAATGTTTGCTTGCAGTATCATAGAGTCATAATAAGTACCTCATCGAATTTCAATACAACGCATAGCATTGAGTTGAGTGATTTGCGCGACCATGCGTCAGGCCGAGTCAGTTCCACGCCTTTAAGAGTTCGTAGCACTTGTCAAAGAATGTGCTGTAGGAATTGCGGCCCACGTGCTCCTTGGACCAGATTGTGTTGAGACCTTTAAAGTCATTTAGTAGACAATTAAATGCTATCTTTCGTTACACACAAGAACGTCTACCACCAGTTCCATCCAGGGCGGTGTTGTAGGGATCATGCGTCATCGAAAGCACGTGCAAAGTTCCCCAAAACTAGCTCAGCAGAAAGCATACAGGTAGACAACACCCCAGGCATGCACTCGCACATATATATATATATATATGGTACCCCCCAAAAAAAGAACATATGTTCACCTCACTTTTGCTGGTATTTGCAATATGTTGTGTCTATTTTTGGCGGCCTTTTGGACCTTCGTTTTTGGGGTACCATATATATATATATATTTTTTTGTGCAGGTAGGTTACATAACTTGTTTGTCCAGAGATTCTAAATTCCGGCATGTTAAATAACATTGGAAGGAATGCATTCAGAATGCATTCTTGTTCAAAACCAAGATCCAAGATCCAAGATTCCCACAAGACTCCTGGCTAAAATCTTGGATTGATACAGTGATAAGGATGTTCTGGCAAATCCCAAATCCAAGATTTTCCACAAGACTTCTGTGCAAATCTTGGATCTTGGATCTTGGTTTTGGGAAGGAATGCATTCTCTGGCATTCTCTGGTAGTGACAAAATTGCACTAAGTACATTTTGATCCTGGAATATTACTGATTACCGACATGTGTTTCTCATTCAATTCTAATTAACAACTAATTCAACTCTAATTTACTTCTATGAATTTTAGTGCACATACAATTTAACTAAATTCTAAGTCAACTCTTATTCTAATTTAAACTCACTTCTATTTATATTTAATTTTAAAAGTTGAGTCTAATTGAACTGTAAATTGATTCTAATTTGAGTATGTAACATAGTTCTACTTTAAGCCTAAGTTGAGCCTATTTAAGTCTATTTAGCTTAATTTAGACAGGAATTATTTATTTTATTCATTTCTATTTTAATTCTAATTATGTTTGGCTATTTTAGATCTAATTGAATTCAAACTTGACTCTAAATTTGAATCTGCAACGTGCTTCTAATTTAAATAGAAAATGATCCTAATTGAACTTTATATAATTGAAATCAAATTGAGATTGCAAATTAGACCTAGCTCAATTCTAATTGAACTTAGATTCCAATATAATTCTAAGTCAATACTGTTCTACTAACCAAGCTCTAGGTAAAACAACTCTAATTCAATTCTACCTTAGTTCTAAGCCAATTTCAATTTAAGTAATGGAGTCTTATTCAATGTTTGTCATTCAATTCTAATTTAATTCCAGTCTACTTCTAACTTAGTTCTATGTCATTCTATTTTGGATTCAATTGTAACTTTGACTATTCCAATTTCCTGGTAATTAATTTCTAATGTTAATGCCTTTGTACAGCTCAGATTCAATGGTTTTACACATCTAATTTTACACTATCGTCATTGCAAATTATGGTTGGTTTCTATATGTCTAATTTAATCCTATTTTGATTCTAGTTCAATGCACATGGAAATCTAATTCAGTTTTGGTGTCATTCTGAGGGTGGGTGTTGCTGGTGGTGAATTTAATTCATTTAAGAAAGCAAATGCTTCTATATTGGAAAACACTACATAAAATCTCTCATGTTCAAAGTAACACCACTTCTCTAGAAGTAAATGAGAATCTCACTCAAATTAAAGCTATCTTGAAAACGAATACACTATTAGACTTGAATCTGACTTGTATAGCAATGAAGTTAGAGTTAGCTTGAAAGCAAATTAAAATTAGGCTTGCATTGAATCCCAAGTAAATTAGGATCTATAGTGATAGACATTTGAATCAAAGTAGAATTTACAAATAATTGAAATAGACTAACATTTCAATTTGAATATACAAAGTAGAGTAGAGTTGAATTTAACTTTAATTAGAATGAAACTTGAATTTAGCTATCTAGGGTTTGGAATTCTTTGCCTTCTGATTATGATGTACTTGCTCAACTGCATTCAATAAGAGCAGAGCAATTCACACCCTAAAAGCAAGACATATGGTTTTGCATGGGGGTTGCATGGAATTAGATTACTACATCCAAGAACTGTTTAGTAAACACATAACCTTATGTATGGATTTGGACATTTTTGTAGTACATAGTTAAATGAACAAATATGCTTACCAACTGCACACCAGCACTCAGAAACATAGGGTTTTTTTGGGGGGCTAGCATATATATATATATGCATATAAAGAAAACAAACCACAAACAAACGCTTGTGATATCTTGTGATTGCCTGTGCGGACCTGTGAGCACGTTGCTATAGAACAAACGAACGAAAAGCGAAACCTATCTGAGACTCCAGGGATCTAGACTCGAGGATGAAACATGTTCTCATTCTCTCACAGGTCACAACGAGCTCATGGAGCCTTATGGAAACCTTATGAAATATTCACTTAACCATTGGGGAAAGCGGATAAAACAGGAATCACTAGGCACTGCTGGATGGCACAAACAGACTCAACTGTTACCCATCTCAAGTGGATGAATATCGATTACTTGCAGAATGTTGTAGTAACTAGCTGAACACATCTTTGGCAGGGTGAAGAAACACGGTCTTTGATGCAGCAACATTCCGTTTCTTTTGCGTCACAAATAAACCGGTCATCCGAAACATGGAGTGTCCTGGAGTACTTGTCAGTTTCAAGTCTGGTGCGTTTTTCGAACTCCACATGTTCCCTCGACTGCAGCTCAAGTGGCAAACATGCCCACGGAATAGATACGATCAAACTGCCCAGTCACTTGACCTGAGCGAACGCTCAGGTCAAAGTTACATTCTTGCCGAAAGAAGTGCCTTAACGGGGGTTCCTCGGTTCCCTGCGGTGTGTCTTGAAAACCACAAAAAAACAAATACGTGGATCCATTCTAAACATGGGTCTAGTCTAGGGCCTTGTGCCATGTACTCTGAAATCCTGCACCAGCCAAAATATTAGATGAACACCTTCACCTACATGGGGTACCATGTCTGTGATTCTGCTTCAGGGAGCTCCAAACCTGACTAGGAGTTCGGTAACTCTAACCCGGTGAAATTCCCCAAATGGGGCAAGATCACAGAAGTCCTACGGGTCCCATATAGTCTGGGTATCTATCATACAGAGGCGGAAGTACCATCCCGGAGTGACCAGGCAGGAATCCACAAAACGACGTTTTCTCCAGATTGAGTCCCGTCGCATATAAAACTGGTCCCATGGGTCCTGGTCATCGTTCGTTTCTTCTGGAGTTGGCCGCGTCGTTCGATACGCAGGACGCAGATGGTTGCCGTTGGCGCGCCCGGGGTCAGTCCAAAGGACGATAGTCTTGGTAGCGGTACTCGATGTTGGGGTGAGCGTTGTGCTTCACAGCCTCACAGCGAACGCAAATGCATTCAAAGAATATCCACCTGCTCCCACGTAAAGACTTGAGGTTCACCGAACAAGCAAAACCTGGAAAAAAAAATAGCAGTGCTGCGAAAGAAGCCCAGGCCATCTGCTCCTTGGACAAGGTCACACCAGTCACCTCGGATGCTGCACGAAGAACGTGGGGCAGAAGGAGAAACAAGCCAAGCCAAGCCAAGCATATCAATGAAGGAGAGGACACTGAAGTCACTGAAGACATCTGAAGACTGAAGTGTGTTCAGGTGTTCCGCATGTCATGGGAATCCATGTAGATTTCAGTAGATTTCCATTAGTGGGATTTGGCTCGTGGATGTCCATGTCCCATGCCGGACGATTGCCTGTCCAGATAGAGAAAATCGCTCCTCCCTCCACCAATGCGGCACAATGCAACACATCTGGGGATGGAACAAAAATCCATATCAAACAAATGGCAAATCTGGGGTGTCCTTTTTGATCTCCCAGGCACGTGAACGCCATACTTGGAGGCCAAATAGTAGGCCTCACTGACTTGGCGGTACCGTCGATTGACGGAGATCTGAACACCCTGCACACACCACAAAGGCATCTCTTGAGATGGAGATCTGAACACCACTCTCAAACCCTCCATGTTACATAATTTTACCATATTTTACCTACATTGAGGAAGGTTGATCAGGGGGGCCTCTGGTGGGTCAATCTTCCATGTCCATTGTTCGTCGATGGAAGGCCGGACGTTCGTCCACCTGCCACTCGTTCGTCCTGACGCGTCTCGCCTCGCCTGGGCACCAAAGCCGAAGCCGAACTCCAAGCAACGCCTGGAAGTCCACGCCACGCAGCACTGTGTAGCACGCAGCACTGTGGTGGGGGCGTGGGGTTTGGCTGCGCTGCGGGAGAGACGGTGGTTCTTAGACACCGAGAAAGAATGCCACGAGACACCTTAGAAACAGAAAGCATCCGCAAAACAAATGAGGTTTGTAGACACCCTGCTAAGGATTTATATTGATTTATATAACCTTTAAAATACCTTTAGTGGTTTGGTAGGTCCCTTATAAACCAATACAGTGCTTTTTGGGTGAAAAATTGCCTAAAGGATGGTCGGGAATTTGTTTGGCCTAGTTCTCATAAGGAGTCTGGACAAATTCTGAGACTATATAAAGGAGACTGATGATAAGACTGGTCTGAAGGAAAAAGTCCGGACAGGCACTTCAAACACATCGAAGATCTACTGAGTGGCAAAACCTCTACACCTCTACACCCCCATTCGCGACCCTTGTTCGCAATCGCGACCCGATCTCCACATGGAACATCATGGAAGGTACCGACCCAAGCAGTTTTGGTGCGTCCACGTCGTTCCAACGTTTTGACCGCGCGACGGGGGCCCCAAACTCCACGTGAAAGGGCGCCCGAAGCGTGATTTCCGAGGCGAAGCAAAAAATGGGTGAAGGCCATCCGGCCATCCTCCCCATTGTCCGAGCGTCATCCCAGGCTTCAAGTCCAGCTTCTTGGCAATCAAATCCATCTTGGCCTCAAAGAGTCTGCGAGTCCGACGGGCGAGCAGGACAAGGGCTTGGTCTACATTAAGGCCTTGAGGGATCTTGAGGGTGTGTATAAAGAACCTATGAAATCGATTCATTGCAGAGTTCAGGATTCGTCTCATCGGCTGTAGAAGAATGGCAGAGTAGCAGGTGCATCACACACCATGTTGGAGAAGGGGCATCGTTCGGCCCGGTCACATCTTTCACTAGTATGTATGGTCACTAAATTATGTAAACACGAGGAAATACATAGAGCAGGACCTTCAAAGTGACCTCTTTTGGAGTCTCTAAGTGACCTTTAAAGCAGGCCTGTTTGTGAGCGAAAATCCTGGGATCTCAGTTTTTTTGTCACTGTCTGAAGGTCCTGGCATGTGTTGACAGTACAAAAACCAAGTGTTGTGGCAAAGGAACCTTCATGCAATGACATCTTTTGATCGTCAAAACTCATCCAACCATCCAATCCAAGAACTCCAGCCTCTTGTGCTTCATCGAGTGTCATGTCCGGCCGCGCATAATAGGCGCATGTGTACCTGAGATATGCTGGACTTATCTGTGGGGACTCTGGGTCTTTACATGATGTGGTTTTCATTGCATATACATTGCAAATATCACTAAACAAAATAACATGCGTCGGAAGCAACATGAACAGGAAAAAAAGGTTTCAATCTTCCAACGAATATACTATATAAGGGAGATTACCTATCACAAACCCATCGAAAACCTGTGAAAAGGGTTTGCCCATGTGGCGGAGGGCTGACAGAAGTACATACATTTCTTGGGGGTTATCGCCTCCAATCTCACTGACACTCAACCAGCGGGGCTCCGCCGCTGCGCTGCTTCGCTACGCCGGCGCTCGTTTTGCGCAAACCGCCCCTGCGGGCAAGGTCTATGTACCGCGCTCGCTTGACGAGTGCTGGAAGTCTCATGCTGCAAGGCCATCCCCTGGCGAAGCATGGGCTGCTTTTAGCGGATTGAACACCTTTGTGTTGAACATCAAATCTGTGACATCAATCTTGGTATAGAAAAAACGCTCACGCCAATGAGGATAGGGATTCATCAGGGTCCCTGGAATCTAAAAGGTTCGAAAACAATGATGAATTTAACTAGGTTCACCTTGATAGAAGCACATAATAGACACAATATGTATTACAATATATAAATATATATACATGGTTTAACTATGAAAATCCACGGAAAACAGCAAGTTGGGCTGCTTAGGTTGAGTCAAAATGATATCACGTCCGTCTCTCCCCCGGAGCCATCAAGATCCCAAAAAAATAGTCATGAGTCATATCCCCAGCTCAGTCCATCTCTAGAAATGTTCCTATCTGGAACTGGGACTGTCATCTGGGGATCCATTCGGCTATTATCACAGTGTTGTCACAGCTCTTCAAGCGCAAGCGGGAACATTGTCACAGTCCCGGAACACGACATGTCCGAAGATAGTCGCCAATCCATACATCCCTGGGACGCAGCTTTTGCCAGGTCATGGTGATAGTCTGTGCAGTCACTATGTAGTCGCCATTCTCCGAGGACTAACTAGCCAAAAGCTGTGTATAGGTGGGGTGGTCGATCCAAACATTATCCTTGCCTCAAGTCGGGCGTGAGGAACTTCACATTTGCTTGTTGCTGAACAAATCTCAAAACCATCACGTGGAAACTTGTCGTTTTTGTTTCGATTGGATCATCAAAGAGACGAACACCAGCGACCAACTGGTGATGACAATCAGCAGGTGCGCTTTGAAAAACTGAATGTGTTCCCTGCATGGTGAGGGGGATGGGGGTCGGCATGCCCGTGTGCCACAGGCACTTGCTTCTGCATCCAACTCGAGAGCTCAGGAGAACACCGTTCGGTCTTGCTGTTTGACACAAAAATAAAATACTGTGCATGAAAACACAACTACCATGTCATGATGTCTGATACGAAGGGCCTTTGGGGATTGGATTCCGGGCAGTCAAACAGCTTGCTCTCTCTTGGGTGGTTGGAATCTCCTCTCCCCGGCATCGGAAGGTTAACTCAAAGCAACCCACCACGGACTCACGCAGGAAATACACTCCCGAAAACTAACATAGACCCTGACAATGGTCCCCTGGAAGCCTATTTTCCTCTACCAACCAGTGGTTTTCAGGTTCCATGTTAGTCTTCCAGGGTGTAGAGCCCGAAAGTTCTGCAAAATGAGACACCCACTATCTGGAGCCACCTGCGAAAGGTATCAACGCCAGCTCCTATCCAGCTCCGCAAAACTTCCGCCATTCGAGTCCCCAAAGACCTAAGAGCGTGGGAGGTCATTCTACGGATGAAAGCATTCTCCCAAGCCGTTTTTGTGGAACATGAAGGTGAACCGAACTTGCCACTTGTTCGCTTTGAGTGGGAAAAAACATAATTAAAACAATGCCCCCCCAAAAAAGGGTCGTTATATCCACCGACTGAGAATCAACGTTCTTCGCTGAGTCAGTTGTTTGAGTGCGTTATAGCCATTAATTAGCCACCATTTGACTTGAGAGCCCAGGCGCCACCCGGCGCCGGCGCCGGCACCCGTGTACGGCGGCCTCCTCCATCGTTGGATCCGCTGGAGGGCTTGCCGTTGGACCCGGGGCCGTAGGGGCAAAACCTCGGTTTTGCTGGTTAGGCTCCGCTGCGCGGAGCCCACGGCGGAGCCGCGTGCCGCGGTGGACCAAGTGGGCAATTGACGCCACCGACACGGTGGGTGACCCGGTGTGGCGTTCGGTGCGGGGGTTCCGACGTCTATCGGAGGCGATCGATGGAAGATCGGAAGTGGAAGGTGAGGGCTCGATGTGGGTGGCCGGCCAGGTACATTCCGATGAACACCACATGGAAGTGGGGTGAACCCAACACTCCTCTGTTTTGTAAAGGAAAGTGGTCTTTGAAGGGACAATCCACTTCATGAATGAGTGAGTCGGATGTGTTCAGCGATGTTCACCTACCGAATCTTCAAGCTCTTGGTTTTTTGGACATGATCCTCAAGTAACTACGAAAAGCCAGCAGTGGGTAACTTGTAACATCACTCACCAAGATCCAGAACACAGCCGTAGTTTGGTCAAATGGTTTTGTCGGCACCTCCGGGCAGTACTGGTCTCAAGCAGCACATCTACAGAAATCCAGATCGACCAAAGAAGAAAGCTCAAGGCCACACTCCAAAGACCTGGTTGGTTAGTGGAAAAGACCCGGTTGCAACTGGAAAATATTTGTAGACATCAAAAACAGTCAAATGATTCTACGGACCAAACCTCCCAAAACATCACATACTTTAAGTTTAACCAAACTGAGCAACCAAACGGAGCCACACATTATCCCCGAACCGAACACCGTTTCCTTTCGTTCGCAGCAGCTTGTGCCAATCTAGTGACCAGACCATCCATGTGTGGCCTATTGACCGAAATTATCCGAAATTGGGATGGTTTCAGGGGTATCTTCCCCAAGAGCGAGTACTGGACCGCCACTCCAAAACTCCTGTAAAACACACGTGACTTCGGAATCGACCGGTAAAACAGGCCTGTTTGTTTCCCAAGCCATCCTGGGATCTCCGTTCGATCGGTCACGAAATGAAGGTCCTGG